GACAATTTGCGACAAAGTTGATGTGACTGGCACGATTTGACCAATATACATTGGAAGTAAAATAAGGGCCAACTACTTATTGAAGTCGCTGTTTTCGCAATGGGTAGTAATGTGGGTCCTGTTTGGTTAAGCATAGTCCCCACGGGCTTATAGGTTTGAACAACTGCTGTCAGAAACAGTATACCCTCTCCATTTGAGAGGGCTAAACCAGCATAGCAATTACTCATATACCAGCTTTTCGCAAACAGAACTGTGAGTGTTCACTTCCGTTTTGAATTGGCCGAGTTCTGTCCCCTCCGCCCGCCATATGACGTGCCAGCGACTCGGCAGCGCGCGGATCGCCCCCTCCCCCCCTATTGTATCCTGCAAGGGACCTCGGGGACCAAAGGGCCTCCAATTCGGCTAACCCAATAATCTCGTCTTTCTCCCCCTCCGTTTCTTCGTCCTTGACCCAGCAGGGTCGCACCGGCGATTTTTTTCCTTGTAGTTGTAGTTGGTGGTACCGAAAACCTGCTGCTGAGTCGTCCTCTAGATGCATCCAGAATGAAGTGGAAGGGTTTTTTGGCGATGTCCGTGACGCCATCCGTGGCGGCCAGCTCGTGGGGTGGGGTCCTCGACCCTCGCTCGTCCTCGTATGGTTCTGGTCCTTCTAGTCGCTCCTAGCCGTCGCCCCCCCCCCCCTTTTCCTCGTCGGCGTCGCTGGTAACACATCTCTGTGATAGCGCTAGCCGCAAGCAAAAAAAAGTAAATGCTAATCAGTGAAGCCAGCCGTCTCTTAGTTGCGCGTGCTGATAAGTTGCGACACTTTCCAACTTTCTTAATGGATAGGTAATCGCTCTGTAATTGCACTATAGTTTCTCGTCTTTTGCAACACGTGGCTACACAAGGAAGTGCGTATATTCGCTTCGTAACTTTTCTGTTTTCCTGGGCCTGGACATGATGTGTTGGTCAAAACACTGGAACAGGTGTGAATTAGAACAATTGAACAACCAAGAGGGGTGATTATGATGATATTACGGTGGCGTGTGTCGGCCGGCACTAGACACAAACAAGCGATTTGATAGAATGTCCTCGCGGGCTACACAACGACCACTTCAAATCATCACCCTCCCATTTCCCAAAAGTTCGCACCTCGCTCAGTATTGCTAGAGTCGCACAAAACTGCGCGTTTCCGCCTCACGCAGCAGCAGGCACAGTCGCGCGGGGCACAGAGCACGCCCGTCACAAAGCTGTCACGGGCGGCGCGGCTCACAACTCGCTTTGTACAGTGTGACTCGTCAATAGCCACAGCGTCTGTTAAATCCGCAGCGCTGCCGTGCTCGCGGGCGCCACACAGGAATAGCGTTTCAAACATCAACATGTTTTCCATGGACAGGACAGACTATCGCCATTATAAAACGCCGCCTAGAAGCTTGTGGTCCGTCGTCGGCGCGTTGGCAACAGCAGCATGCATAGACGGCTCCGCTTATCTCGGGCAGGGCTGGTTCAGAAACCGCTGGCCGAACTGCAACACAAGGCGCCGTGAGGTTAGGCAGCCCAACTTGCTCGTCGTCCGCCTCGAGGAAAGAGAGCACTGCTGGCTCGCCGCTCACCCTGCAGGTCGCCAGCTTGTTGCTCGCGCCGCAGGACGAGGCCATGTCCAGGAGGAGGTAGACGATGTGCGCCAGGTAGCCGAGGCCCAGCAGCACGCCGCCCATGATGAAGCCCCACGAGGCGGGCAGCCAGTCGTACGCCAGGCGCGCGCCCAGGTACACGTTGGTGCCGACGACCCCCGCCGTCAGCAGCAGCGAGGAGGTCGTCGAGAACCTGCACGCAAAGACAACAACTATTTCCAAAAAAACAAACGGAGTAGTATGTTTTTCGTTTACAATTTTAAAAGTTTTGCAAAGGAAACAAAACAGAAGAATTTCCTGTACAGTTTTCATTTTCCAGTGCAATTTTGGAATGTCTCGTGAAATGTTAGACTCATTGAGCCAGCTAAACCCAACTTGGACCTGAGCCACGACGGCTCGCCGCTGCTCACCGCGACCTCTATGCGCCCACTGCCACCACTGCGTCACTCACTTGCTGCTGACGTGGTCCCCCATCACGCTGCGGTTGGCGGTGAGCGCGATGGCCGGGATGGCGGCGGCCGGCAGGTGCAGGCTGAGCACCAGGTTGAGGAGCGAGTTGATGGCGACCAGCGTGGTGACGTTGGAGAATAGGGCGACGAACAGCAGCGGTGTGGCGGCCAGGACCCGGACGACGATGGCGCGCCGCCAGTGGCTCCACTGGATGCGGAGGAAGCCCTATGGACACGCGAGCGCGCGGTGTTGACGAGGTCGCCGCCGTGGGTACCGTGTCCTGGTTTACTCGGCCATGTCGATCACCTCCATGATAAAGCGCCCCGCGCGGCTGCTGTGCAGGGTGCCCGCCAGCGCCGCGGTGAGCACGCCCAGCGCCCACATGGTGAGCGCCACGGACCCGAAGCGGCACCCCAGGAACACCCCGCCCGTGTACATGTCTGCCGAGGCCGTCTCGTTGTCGTTCTAGCGGATTTTATTGTAGACTTAGAAAGGGTTTATGACTTGCTTGTTCATAGCGATCTAGGGCAAACTCACCGGAAATACATCTGCGAAGAGGCTGCCGCCTGAGATGCACTCCTCCCTCTGGAATGTGGAACCGCTGTAGTGTAGTAGTGTGCCGTGCAGTATGGCGCGCTGCCCGTCAGTCTCGAGGACCCACCAGCTGTCTGTTGGTCTGGCCGAAGACGGTGGCCCCAATCACGGACGTGATGAAGACGTTGAAGACGTACGACACGAGCACGGCCAGGCACACCTCGACGAGCAGCACCAGGTTTACGCTCGACAGCTGGACGGCCTCGACGCCCTCGCGGTCCACGGCCTCCTTGACGAGCCCCGAGTGCAGGAACAGGTTGTGCGGCGTGAGTCCTGAGCCGATGAGCGACACCACCTGGACGTAGATGGTCTTGGAGCAGTCGTCGCACGTGGGCACCACGATGCCCCTCAGGACGCTCGCCTGGTCCGGCAGCACCTTGAAATACTGCAACAGACGCAGGGTTGGTTGAGAGCAGGGGTCCTTCACTATTAATTCTATAGAATATATCGTACACCAATTTTTGTTTTTCCTGATTATTTTTGTGATTTTTTGTGATTTTTTGTGATTTTTTGTGATTTTT